TATAGCCTGAAAACCCTCAGCAATTCCTCCTTGTTGCCACCCGATGCTCCGGCGTTACGAAATTTTCTACCCATTTCTATTGTAGGAAATTTGGTTTTTGGCTGAAACGTATATTAGGCGAGTACTGGAAAAGATTCAGTAAGACTCTTTTGCTCTTTCAGCGGTTTTTAAAACTAAACTTGTTGGCGTCCTGGGGATATATAGCTTTGGAAGGAATGGACTTTATATATAGAGAGAGAGCTCTTGCCTTTTGCTGAACACAGGCATGGGGCAGGAACGACGTTCCTTCTTGGAAAGAGACGTTTGTGTCGAGAATTGGACTGGAATCTCTCGCTTCAAATTGATACGCCCCCACCTTTCACTGTATATAGGGATGTGAACGAAGGTATCCGATTCTGTTTCCACTTTTATATATTCTTGTTTATCTGAAAAGACAAGAAAACTTTAGCACTTCTAATTCTTTGATGCTACTCTATCTTTATACATACATACATATATATATATATATATGTATAATTGGAAATTCAAACTCAGTTATTTAAATAGGGAGAAGTATACATTATGTCGAATGAATGCTTGTATTATGCTACTCTTTTTTTAAAAAAACTCAATCATCAAGAGATTCATTAATAGAAAGAGAATACAACTCCATGGTCCTACAAAAATAATGAACTGTGGATTAAAATGAGAATTGTATTCTGGAAGCAGGGGAAACAACATCCTGTAGAACAAATTTGCCCACCTAAACAGAACAAGGATATCCATAAACAAGCAACCTAAACAAACGTAGCAACCAGAGAATCCTAAGACACCACAGATGAAGCACAAAAATAAAAACATAAATGAACGCCCAGATCTGAAGCAGCAGCAACCGAATCAAAACCCATGGACAGAAAAGTAGCCTCACCACCAAACAACAGCCTTACCAACATGCATTTTGAACAGTAGTATTATGCTACTCTTGAATGTTCTTTTGTCTGTGTATCGTGAGAGAACATTATAATGTTCTCTCTGTTTGACATATTGCGTTTAATTTTGATTTTGTACAAATTTAAGAAATTTGAACAACTAAAAGTTTATAAATAAAGAGTTGTGTACTTGGAAAATGCTTTACGCCATTATTTGATCTCTTCAGCTTTTCAAGAATGAGGTTACTTTCAAAGGGAAGCATTTTGTCCGATTACAACTTGTCGAGATCATCAAGTCTAGGTCATTGGCCTTCTGTTTCTATCTCAATCACTTTCAAAGTGTAGTTTCGTTGAACCCTTCATCACCGTCTGCAGGTAGAACAAAGATTGACCCTCGTCCTCTGACCCTTTGGTGTCACCCCCGTTTTATGCAATTAAGCATTCCATAAATACAAGGGCCACATAAATCTTCAGCCATGAAAGATCAGCAAAAATCATTATCCTGTGATATTATACGCCATGTTATATCATGGGAAAGGGTGGCGAAAATTAGTTGTGGCATTTTGATATTTGTGAGTTTAGAGCTTTCCTCCTCCTTTCACCATATATTCTCTTATCAATTCAAGAATAATTGCCTTCCTGGAAAGCGAATTCTTCCACTTTCCAAGGACCTAGTTTTTGTAACAGCAACAATAATTGGATATTTATTATTCTATATATGTGGTACTATCATGTTGCTATTAATATGCCATTCTTTGTTATAGGACCTCCCGGACAGTCAGAACGGTTCACTCCCTGTATCGGTGCAGACAATCGAGATTTTATCATTGCCATTGTTGAGGGATGAAGGATGAGATTTTATTTTTCTGATGGTTAAGGAGTGAGGAATCCCTAGGCCCTGGGGATCATTAATTACTGGGTTTAATCCTAATAGTAAGAGATATAGTAGAAGTTTACAGGGTTTTTGCCATCGACATGAAATTCTGGTTGAACCACGTAGGAAGGAAATTGAGTTTCATGATCCGGTTCAACCATCCCAAGAATGTTGTCTTGACTAGCGCATGATGATCCCGGGTTCACCTCCAACGGAAGGTGAAATGAACCTGGGCTGTTGGCCTGCTGCTGCTTCAGGCCGAAGTTCTATACGAGATAGAGGATTGGTATGGATCTGATATATATGTAAAGCTCATCATGGGAATGGTCTGATGATCAGGATTTTCGAAATGGGGCTTTGCGTTCTGGGTAATCTTGGACGAACATCAAAGCCATCAAGGTTTTGTTTGAACAATTGTTTTGGGACCCAAAAATCAATCTCAAAAAGAAAATATACGTACCTTGCTTATTGGAAAAAGATTTTATGATTACGTCAATCATTGCATAGATATCGTATGGTTTTCAATGTCTCCTTTGTTCCCTACCAGGGGATTGAGGTGTTTTCTTGGTTTTTGTTTTTGTTGTATTCTTAATTTTATGCTATTACTAATTAATAGATTTTAGTCTCTGTTTTTATGAGAACTTTCTACTTGAAATCACAGTCATACTTAATATTTGACAGATAAAAACTACTGCTATATCACCTATAAATACAGATAGGAATTCAAACATACAGTAATCAGAAGCCACCCCTTCTCAACTTCTGCATGGTGGAAGAAGCAGCAACCTATAAATACACGACAGAGACTGAACAGAATGGGATGAGTACAAATCGTGGCATTTCACCCCTTTATTGTTAGGTAGTAAACTCTAGCACTGACACTAAGGATAAAACTAAGGCAATATAGACGAAGTAAATTTCACGAGATTAGGCAGCTCATTAGAATCAATGGATTTGTCACCATTTCCGTCGGCCTAGCAGAGAGCTTGATTGACTCTGAAACTAGATAGCTTAAGTTTATCTATTTGGTGGCACCATTTGACAGTAATTCCAGTTGGAGGGAGACAGAAATTAGAGGAAAGTTATCTAGGAGACGTAGCGTACAAGATTCAAATACTAATTGACTTAATTATACAGCAGATCATACACTCAACCCGCAGTTACGCATGACATTCACAAAAGCCACCAAATAAAGTTCCGAAAAGGAAAAGTCGGACGATCGATGGAAAGAAGCACAGATCCTGGCGGTGGCAGATTATGAGTAACTAGTTAGGTAGATGTATTATACTTAAAGGTATAACCACATTCCAAAGCGTATTTAACAAGATCATCAAACTCGTCGTCGCTAACGTATCCGTCCCCGTTAGCATCAGCTTGATGAAGCCCTTGGCCAGCTCGCCAGCCTGGTAGATGAGAACCTAGACTAGCGAAGGCCTTCCTGAGCTCTTGCTGGCTGAGACGCCCGTCCAGATTAGTGTCAGAGCTCTTGAATATAGTTCTCAGTTCTGTTCCAGTTAAAAGCACAGGCCGCATGTTCCTTTGGCATTTCGGAGAGATACCCTTGGGCATATTTGAAGAACGAAGCATGTTTTGGAGTAATAAGAGGAAATTATGTAAGAGAGACGGCTGCTTGCCTTGCTATAGCATGGTTCACTTAGCTGACGTTTATATAGAGCATTTAAGGGCCAAATGCATTTCTATTTATCTCACATGGTGCAATTTCTGTGAACGAAGGTATCCGATTCTGTTTCCACTTTTATATATTCTTCTTCATGTAAGAAGACAAGAACACTTTACCTCTTTGTTTGATTGCGGCAACGGTGCACGAATGGCTGCGGGTTTTATTGTTAGAAATAGTGATGGGGCGGTTGTTCTTGCTAGAACAAATGCGTTTTACACTACACTACTATTTCAGATGCAGAGTTGAGAGCACTGTTATGCGCCTTATTGGTTTGTTTGGAGCATAACACGACCATAACTTAAGTTGAGATTGACAATAAGATGGTTGTGGGTTGGTTGATGATAAAAATTATATGGGGGCATCTGGCATTTTAGTGGAAGATTATACTGAACTGATTAAAACTTTACAGATCCAGTTTGTTTGTTTTGCTCCAAGAGAGACCAACATGATGGCACATGAGATTGCTAAACATGCAAAAGTGATGCCAGAAACCCAAATGCCCTATATATGTTGTATGATCATGTTGCTGTTAATTTGCTATTCCTTGTTGTTGGACCTTCCGAACAGACAGAACGGTTCACTTCCTGTATCGGTGCAGACAATCGAGATTTTATCATTGCCATCGTTGGAGGATGAAGGATGAGATATTATTTTTCTGATGGTTGAGGAGTGAAGAATCCCTAGGAGCTGGGGATCATCACTTACTGGGTTTAATCCAAATAGTAAGAGATATAGTAGTATATGTTCACAGGGCTTTTGCCATCGACATGAAATTCTGGGTAAACCACATACGAAGGAAATTGAGTTTCATGACCCCGTTCAAGAATCCTAAGAACTTAGTCACGACTTACGCATGATGACCCGAGATTTACCTTTAACGGGCCTTCTGGCGTGCTGCTCCAGCCCAAACTTCTATATGAGATAGTGGACTGGAATGGATCTGCTATATATGTAAAGGTCATCATGGAATGGTCTGCTATCAGGATTTTTGATTCGGGCTTTGAGTTCTGGTGTGAACTTGGACGAACATCAAAGGTATCGAGGTTTAGTTTGAACAATTATTTTGGGACCCAAAACTCAATCTCAAAAAGAAAATATATGCGCCTTTCTTCTTGGAAAAAGATTTTCTCATTACGTCAAGCATCGCATAGATATGGTACGGCTTTTCAAAGTCTCCTTTGTTCCCTACCAGGGGGTTGAGGTGTTTTGTTGGTCTATTTTTGCTTTATTCTTTTATGATATTATTAATAGATTTTGGTTTTTTTATGACAAGAACTTGTGCTCGAATTCACACAGTCATACATAATATTTGAAACATAATCACTATATCACATATAAATACAGAATCCCCTTTGCATAGGAATTCGAATATAGACTAATCAGAAGCCACCCCTTCTCAACTTCTGCATGGTGGAAGAAGCAGCAGCCTATAATACACGACAGAGACTCAACACAATGGGATGAGTACAAGTCATTGCACTTCACCCTTTTATTGTTACGTGGTAAACCATATATAGCACTATTACTAATAATAAAACTAACGCAATATAGACGAAGTAAATTTCGCCAGATCAGGCAGCTCATTAGAATCAATGGATTTGTCACCATTTCTGATGGCCTTGCGGAGAGCTTGGTTGACTCTGAGACTAGATAGCTGGGGTTTATCAAGCTGGCTAAAGGCTCTTGTCAGCTCCCTTGCATTGAGTAGATGGTCCTCATTCAGGTCGCTTCCCTGGAATACTTGCAATATTTGCTTCTCATTTTTTCGCTTCATTGCTACTTTAGAAAAAACAAACAAAAGGTTTTTCTTAGCTAGGAGGCTCTTTTCAACACTATATTACACTATGATATGGGGGAGTATGGCTATAGGCGTATTAATAGAGCAATAACTGTTTGTCTTTTATGCAAGGTAAGGCGAACCAGTTCTACAAACTTCTCATCAACTTTTTTGGACTGTTAAAGTTCTAACTTATCTTGACTGAGCCACTTGCTTTCTGAATCAAGAATAATCGGACCAGAATTCTTTGACTGCAAGTTGGCGCATGTATCCGTTTGTTTGAGGTGTAATTAGTGATGAACAAGGCTCGTATGAGATGAAAATTTTTCCTTCATTTTTAACCTATACACGTACGTACAGCATATGAAGGAAATGGAATACACATGCTAACACATCTTTCTATTAATGAACAAAAATGACTTAGCTGTTGTTGGTTTAGATAGGAATAAAATTTTCATTAAGAAAAGATAACATTCAGAGGATTGTGGCATCAAGTATAATTTCAGTGATTGGTTGGGCCCTTACACTCATCACATGAAAGCACCGCAATTGGACATAGGTAATTGGATACTAAGTGATCATGGGTTTTATGAAAAGGTTTTGTTGACAGATTGTAGAAAATTAATGGTGAAGTCAAACACATGTCTAGTTGGTAGAAGCTGTGGATAATTTTAGTGGTGATTGGGAGCCATAGGCTCATTTTGGTTCCCTCCAAATCCGTTTCCCCTTGCACTGTTTTCAAACCAACAAAACGGTGGAGGTGATTTACATTATGATGAATAAGTGAGGGATATATTATTATGAACAATCCATTATCTTTTTATTTTTTCCTTTTTCAATCACTTGATCTTTTCATAATTTTTTTGTCTTAAAATCTTGATTTACAAGATTAAACATTTATTGATGGGGAAGGAAAGGAGTCATAATATTATTATGAAACTAGAGCTGTACGTTCAATCCGAGAAAAATAAAAGAAAAAACTGCTTTAACTTTATCTATTTGGTGGCACCATGCGACAGTAATAATTATACAGCAGCAGGAGACATAGGAAAGCTACGTAGGAGACATAGCATACAAGATTCAAGTACTAATAGACTTAATTATACAGCAGATTATCATTCACTGAAGAGGAGCTACCCTTCTAGTTCCTATCTGCAACTAGCAGTTACGCACGACCACGCATTTACAAAAGCCACCAATTATAAAGTTCCAAAAAGAAAAAAGTCGAAAGATCGATGGAAAGAAGTATAGTTCCTGGCGGTGGCAGATCAAGAGTAACTAATTAGTTAGATGTATTATATTTAAAGGTATAACCACATTCCAAAGCGTATTCAACAAGATCATCCAACTCGTCGTCGCTAATGTATCCATCCCTGTTAGCATCAGCGTGATGAAGCCCTCGGCCAGCTCGCCAGCTTGGTATATGAGAACCTAGGCTAGCGAAGGCCTTCCTGAGCTCTTGCTTGCTGAGACGCCCGTCCAGATTACTGTCAAAGCTCTTGAAAATACTTTTCAGTTCTGTCCCAGTTAAAAGCATAGGCGTCGTTTTCCTTCGGCATTTCGGAGGGATATCCTTGGATATAGTTGAAGAACAAAACATGTTTTGGAGTAATAAGAGGAAAGTTATGTAAGAGTGACAAAAGCTGCTTACCTTGCTACAAATGGTTCACTTAGCTAAGGTTTATATAGAGCATTTAAGGGCCAAAAGCATTTCTGCTTATCTCATATGGTGCCACTTGAACAGGATAAAGCATTTGGTATTTTTCGAGTGTGTCACATCTGAAATTACTTGAGCATAAAAGCATATACTACTTCACGATAGATATCCCAACTTGGTAGACAAAACCCATTTGGAGAAAGGGAAGTCTCAAGGCTAGGTTGGAATATTTGGTAATATTTGATTTTCTGTTTAGGGTTTATGGAAGACCAAAATATGAACCCTTAGTCTTAAAAATCCTGATACGACAATGAGACTTTCTTTTGAGCCTCTTTAATGGTGTCATAAGAGTATTTCATTTAAGCTTTTAGTTATGCAATGGCAGAAGATTAAATCAAAGGTCAAGTTATATGCTTGATATATATATATATGTATGTATTCTCAGATCAAATAATCAGTGCATAGCTAATGTTTTCACATAAAAGTTCATGGTTGTCAGATTCCCATTTCAAATATGAGAGGACAAGATTTGCAGGTGCAAGACCAGTCGAATGCTGTAATGTGCTTATGCCGTCTAGGGGCAACTAACCAGGAATCTCTCTAGTTTAGCTGAGGATCAGAGTTTTCTGAACAAAATTTTGCTCCAACTATTTTGAGGAAGTTTCTTATGCGACAAAATGTGGCCGACACCCAAGTTTCTTTTCTTTTGGCATGGATTTTAGTGGCTCGTGCAGCATAACCTATAACAGGCTATTACCGGATCCCAACTAAGAAATTAAATGAAGCAGTAAACGCTTCACTGCAGAAGAAAGTTTAGACCTAACTTTGAGTTGTTGGACATCTGCTTTCAATATATGAATCTTGAACAGGGGAGTTAAATTCTTTGAAACAATAATTGCTAATGAGGAACATTCCTTAGAGATAAGTATTCGTTGGCCCAATATCTTGAAGTGATTTTAGATACTCTTTCAGACTCTTGATTGATGTCCTCTATTATTTTTAAAGTTAAAAAAAATAAATATTTTTAAAAATAACTTTTAAAGATAAGATGTTTTTAAAAATAATTTTTTATAATTTTAATTATTTTTAGTCAAGTTGAACAAAATTACCTAAATTACACATCATGATGTTACACGTCATGTTTACACTCTATAATTAAAATGTTACATGCTATATACAAAAACATATAATACGTCATGATTAGGTTATTACATATCATGTTAAAAAAAATATTATTGTTACATGTTATGTACAAAAATCTATTACACGTCATGGTTAAGAAAAATTATTACACGTGATGTTGAAAAAATATTATTATTACATGCCATATTTAAAAATATTTTATTACACTTTAATGTCTAAACTGTTATTGTTACTTATAAACTAAAATTTTAAATCGTGTCAACTGTCTTTATTTCGTTTTTTTTTTAACGATTCAATACCGTTTCTAACATATTTTTATAAATTAAAACATAAATTTTTTTATCTAAAATTAAAAATCAAATAAAATATCTTAAAGTAATTCTAGATTCTCTTTCAGACTCTTGACTGATGTCCCTTACTATTCTTAAAGTTAAAAAAAAAAAATCCCTGTAAAACATGGCAATAGATCCAAAGCAGAGGAGCAGGCAGAAGAGTTAGGAGGAAGCCCAGGCAAACAGTTGAGAAAAAGTGTTTCTGATAAAAAATGTATTAAGCTTAGTTGGAATCTCTAAATAGTTCCCTTTTTTAAAAGGAACAAGGCACAGCTCTTAATAGCTTTGATCCAAAAGGAATTTTACATGGAGGCAATGAAAGCTCGTGAAAGCAACGCAGCATAAACTCTACAGCTTTAATGGGGTTTTCTTTGTTTTCTGTATTTAATCAGGATTTTTATCCAGGGATGATTTCGTTCGCCATTATTGTTTAGCTTCAATTCCTTTAACTATTCATATATTCCGTTTAATTATGTGCACTTACTCTTAGCTTGTTTCTGCAGTCTTTGTACTGCAGATACTTATCACAAGCATCACTGTGCCTCTAACAAGTGATCATTTGCATCATTATGTGGACTGAATTTGAGCAGCTAATGTTTTTTTTTGAACTATACTTAGCTGTTAGCACTATTTATAGAGAAACTGTATGGAGTAACAAAACAGGACATCCTAGAAAATACAGAAGTAGGAGAATTCTCAGACCACCAGAGATATGTGCACACGGTAAGCTAACAGCACAACAAATACAGTGAGAATAAAAGCTTTCTGATCTCCACATGCTCAAAGTTCAAAGCATGATAATACTCGGATATGAAAGCTTTCCGCAAGTTCTAATTGGATCTTTCTTTCTGTTTCTCTTTTTCTTTGTTTTAGTTCAACAAGGCCTTGGGCTACAGAACATTCAACAGAGATAGGTTGATAGCTATTTCACCCTCTCTCCAAAGGGATTTTCGAGATGAAAGTTTCAGATCCTACTGGAGATGTTAATTTTCCTAATGAATTGTTCAGAAAAGGAAATCATTTTAGAAAAAGGTTTTTCCCCTTTCTGGTCTGTGAAATTAGGGAAACTCGGATCCTTTTCTTCTGACAAGAAAGTTGGAAGATATTAAACTTTATGCAAGGCAAACTGCAGCTTAGTATTACATATATCCTCGTACTATACATATATATTGCTGCATCACTGCCTAAATTACTTCATGGATAGCAGTACATACAGTAGATTTTTGAAGCTAATTTCTACGCCTGCCTTTGTAACACTCCAAGGCATATTGAACAAGCTCGTCCAGCTCTGCCTCGCTGATGTACCCATCGCCATTTTTGTCAGCCACCTTAAACGCACGTTGAGCTCTGTAAGCGGGCCAACGTGATTGAAGCTTTTGGAAACCTGCCTTCACCTCTTCCCAGCTAAGCCTTCCATCCTCGTTGGCGTCACAACTCTTGAATATCTTCATTATCTCAGCATAGTCAGCTTGCAAAGAAGCTGGCAAATCTTTAATATTGACCTGCACAGTTTTACGGAAGAAGAAAACCATTTCTCTTATTGCAGCAAACAAAAGGAAGAAAATAGAAAACACTAATTTCTGGGTGTACGTTGAAGATGGCAAGAACATTTGTTTATATAGAAAACCATTCTGCAACTTCGAGCATATTAATTTATTAATTTATGAGTCAGTAGGAATTTTTCTTTGTTAGGATAGTCTTGAATTTTACTGTGTGACTAAAATTGTTTAATTTTAATTAAATTAGTATACCTTATTAAATAGTCTTTAAATTTAGTTAGACTAAAATAATATATCTTAATTGTATTAGGATAAGATTATTTAGTACGGATCCTATGGGGTTAAAGAATAATCATCACCTAGATTTAAACGGAATGATTTGGGTGTACGTGGGATAAGGGTTGTGAGTTTGAAACTGTTCTTATAATTTTTTGATTTTTTCTCTTAATGAATCTTTCTCGGTTGCTGTGGCCGTGGACGTTAGGTCATCCAAAGACTGAACCACGTAAATTATTGTGTTTTTGTAAGTGTGCTTGATTTCTTTCTTTCCTTATTCTATTGATTGGGTAAGATCTTGAACAACTCTTTAGAGATAATTCCGTAATTCTCACAACATTCCTTGGGTACATCAATCTAGATGTCCATGTTCAGGGTGAACTCATGTTTCCTTAGCATGTTGTCGACGGAATCAGCTACTTCTTTTGGAGAGGTGGAGGGGAATTCCATTGAAATGAGGTAACGTCATCATCTTCTAACGTAAGAAAATACTTTGGTTTTGATGTCAGCAAATTAACAAGAAGGCTTTTAGATCCTCACCATTCTCAAATTCTGTGATAAATTGCGAATAAATATATACATACTTTGTTCCGAATATTGTACTTTGTTGAAAAGCTTTCTCTCTCTCTCTATACATATATACATACTTACATACATACATGTACCTTCACAACTTTTAAGGTAAAAGAGAAATACAGGGAATTCCCCAAGATCAATAAGAAATATGAATTAAAATCTCAAATTATTGCTTTGATATACCAATTATTATGACTTTATTTCATGCATAAAAGTAATTTCTTTTCAATATATTCTTTTCTTTTGAATGTAGCGTCTCTTCACTTGAACCCATATCAGATATCTCCTGACTTCAGCCCTTGATTGGGATGCTCTCTTGTTATACAGTTAGTAATCTTATCTTGTGAAAATAGTTTGTATATTACTGTAGTGTTTGTTATGGATCATTCCTAACCTAGCCAGGTTTTCACCAGTAATAAACTTTCATAATATATCAAGTTGAGCAATCTCATTGGATTACAAGTTAACCGTAGTTGTGTTTATTAAGTGCATACTGATTAGCATACATTGATTGAATTACAAACAATTTACACGTTCTTCTTCCAAACATTCAGAACTTTCTCATAAAGAAAACTGTAAATACTACATCCAAGTCAAGACACTGAAGAGGGTTCTTCTTCCAGTTTCTGTCTGCTGCTTTTAAGTACATAAACTACAAGAGTAATTTTAAAACGAGAAAAGGACCACGATTCCCTTGCCAAATACCAAGTATGCCAATTAGGTGAGGATCTTTGTCTATGAAATGGTGTAACCACATTGCAAAACGTATTCAACAAGATCATCCATCTCGCCCTCGCTTATGTACCCATCTTCATTGTCATCAGCACGACGAAGCGCCCGGCCAGCTCGCCAGCTGGGGAAATGAGACCCAATGTAATTGAAGGCATCCTTCAGCTCTTGCTTGCTAAGGCGGTTGTCTCCATTTCTATCAAAGCTTACAAGTATAAGTTTCAATTGTGCCTTAGTCAAAGGCACCGGCGCACACTTAATCCTGTGGGCCTTTGGCCCTCTATTCTTACAGGCACTGCAATTCATATGGGCATTCTTAGGGGAATCTACAGCACGATGCATGTTTTGGATTGTAGATATATTGGTGGTATGGAGGAGAAAAGCTATACAAAAGAGACTGCTTGTTTTGTGGTATACGAAAGCTTGAATCAATCAGGTGTTTATATAGGGGATTCGGACCGGAAATTTCCTCCGCATCTTTCTGCAATTCCAACTTATTTAGACTTGGAAGTCTACTGTCTGAGCCACAGGGTCCAAAAGGTGAAACTGGGTTGAAAGGAACAGGAAAATACGAAAAAAGAATCTGGTATTTTTCCAGTATGCCATTTCTATAAGGATAGTCGGAGCATTGGAGCAGGGAACTCTATTCTTTACCATCAATTTTCCAACGTGCATTTGAACAGAATCCACAACATATAGCTGCATGATTTTGTATTAACGTAGACTTGGAAAATTGAAAGTCTTGTGCAGAATTTTTGGTTACCCTCCACTTTTGAGGCCGAAAGGCATAATCTAGAACAAAGTTGGATTTTTCATATTTTGAGACAAAGTGATAATATATTCTACATATTAATATTTACATATCAAACAATTACTAATTTATTTTTATTCAATTAAGTGCTAGCAAAAACACAGGTGAACAATCTAAAATCATAATTAAACTCAGAAGGTTAAAATTAGTAGAAAATGAGTCAAGTTCATCTTTTACAGGAAACTACAGTACTGATCTAATTTAAATGATCAAACGTTAATGCTGCTTGATATCCTTAGAATAAACCATGTGATATATATTAGCAGACACCAAGCAAGCAACAGGCTGATTATATGCAATATGAGAGGAGACATGACCACATTACTAACATAAAGCAGGTGGAAGACCATTGGAATATAAAAGGCCTATGCATGGGGAGAGCTTCTGTTGATTTGGGATGTGTGAGAATTTTTAAGAAGCCTACTCTTCTTGTTCTTTTTGTATGGAAAAAAGGGTGCTTTATGGTGAATAAAGGGGCAAAAGCATGGTCCAAAGATGCGGTCCAAAGATTTGGGGAATTTACTTTAATTACAGTATGATTTTCAATAACTCAGCAGAATAAAGTTTTTTTTTTTTTTTTGCAGAGGATATATCTTAATTTATCTGAAAGGGTGCTTTGCAAAAGAATAACTTTCTGCTTGATGGTCAGTTAAAAGGCATAATTAGTTAACCTTCGCAGATGAGCCCAACATATTGGCTAGCCACTAAGAAAATGATAAGAACATACAAACCCCGCTCAACTCTGCCCGAATCAAATGGATTTGGATGATTATGTCTATCTGAATTAAGCTTACCTAAGTGGAAGGAGATGAGGGAGCATCCTTGGGCAGAGGGAGGATCGAAAAGGACTGGGGAATTCTGGGAAATAATTACGTCCAAAACAAGGCTTTGTTTCACATACCCTTACACAAAATGATCAAAGGGAAAAAGTACCCTTTACCACTTCTAAATCCAACAATATGGAAATTAACATACTGCAATTTGAATCCCTTTTTGATCTAAACAGATCCCATCTAAGAACAGTGTTACAGTTTTAGTTGCCATGAAGACATCCCATTCTCATCTCCCTTCTTTGCAAAATATGAGGCAAGTAAACGTGACCACTTACAATTCGGAAATGGTTATTACTCACCATGAGAATAAAGTGTTAAGTTCACTAATTTAATGTTATCTAGAGAAAGATAGCTAGATGAAATCTTCTTTTTTGTTTTCTTTACTTAATTCTGTTCAAAATACTTTTCCAGTGATTAACATTTGAAGATAGACACTGCAGACTATGTTTTTCTTTCTTTGCTAAATATTACTCGAGATCAATGAGCCCGTCGCAGTGCATAGGTTGCCTTAACTTCCCAACATTCTATTGAAATTCTTCAATAATTCCTTAAAATTCTCTTTTCACCACAAAGATTAATAGAGTTATCAAAGCATTACATATTCAAGGTAGTGATCCCAAAAGTAAAAGAAAGCATTACGTATTAGACTGAACTACGAGTACATTCAAGCAGCACTAAACAGCTTCCTCAGAGGAATATATAACAGACCACATTCGAACAATGAAAAGAAGAAAAACAGAACAGAGACACCCCCGATCCTACAGTGCTACTCCTGCTTTTCCAGGAACCTTACCAAGCTAACTTACAGAGCTTTTTCACAGTTGGGTTTATTGTACGGTGTAACCGTGTCTCACAGCATATTTTACAAGATAGTCCAACTCGTCCTCAGTGATGTATCCATCTCCGTTTCCATCAGCATGGCGGAGTGCTCGACCAGCTCGCCAGCTGGGAGCATACGAACCTAAGCTGTTGAAAGCCTCTTGAAGTTCTTTCCTGCTGAGGCGGCCGTCATTGTTGGTGTCAAACCGCTTGAATATCTTTTTCAGCTGCTCTTCAATAAAGGGCACCGGCAATTCCTGCTCGGCATGAATCCTTGCGCACTTTTTATCAATAGATTTTGGCGAATTCTTGACAACATGCATGTCTTTTTTGTTTTGGAAGTATGAATTTGCCGGAGTGATGAAGTGGTTACAAGGGGATCTATAAGGAAAGGCTGTTTGCTTATAGTTTGATGGTGTTGGTGTAGCCTAGCTCGGCCTGGGGTTTAAATAAATCCTTAGATATTCGGCCGTTACTGATAAGCTGCTTCTAAATATTATATTGATGGGTATATGCATGTGTTTGCATATCATGCATGCATGTATAATCTTACCATCTCTTTGTAACTTAAGCCATGACATGGTTGGGAAAAGCTTACGTACACATAGGAGGCTACGTGTTGAGGAAGACGCAAAAGGAATCTTGGGAAGCCACATTATTGAGGTTGGGAATTTTGTTTTGCTTGATTTCATTCAAGAAATTGAAGAGAAGAACTAATAGATAAGATTGCTTTATCCTGCATGCATATGATATATTCGATTGTATGAGGGAAACAAACTGATTTGATTGGTATATTATGAAAACTTGAATATATATAAAACTAGTTAAGCTAATTTTCTTATAAGATTGAGCGTTAATTTTAATAACATTTTCTTATTTAAGAATACATGTATCTATGTCGAGTTGAATGTACAAATGGAAAGTATAAGTCCGATCAACTTGAAAGGAACTCGGACTCTGGAAAGAGCAAAAGCTTATAAGTTATAGCACAATAATCCTCTTAAAAAGGCATCGGAAGTATTTTACATTTTCTCCGCTTACAATCCATCATATACAGAGCAAAATAACTAACATGTAGAAGTCCATTGGACAAGATCATGACCAAGTTGTGAAAAATGTTGTTTTATTCCAGAATAAATCTCAGAGGTCAAGTAAGAGACGCATGCCAAGTGGCATTCCACTTCCTTTTAGATCTTTACCCTGGCGAAAGCTAAACATTATTGGAGTTTCATTCTGCTGTCTTGGCTTTGCTTTCTCCACCATGGTGGAGCTTTCGCTTCCCTATGCATCCGATTTAGTTTGAATTGGTTTCTTTTTCAAACGCATATTACAATACAGTGATAGGAGCCCTTCAACCCAAGATTATTGAGGTTTACTTTTTCGATCAACCTAGAGAGAAAAGTGTATGCTTCTCGCGTATGCTTCGATCACAATAAAGAAAACAGAGGACTGAATAATATAATGTTATTGCCTTTTTCTTTCGTTCCGGTGTATGCTTTTGTTTTCTTGCACTGTTCCAGCTCGAATTATGGCGGTTCTGTTTCTTCAGCTGGAATTGTGCTGTTCATTATTATTTGTCTTCTTCAGGAGTCTTTGGTCTTGGTTGGTTGCAAACCCCTTGTGTGGACTTAATTTGGGTGTGTTCTTCTTGCTTTTGGGTATCTGGTTTCATGTCTTATGACCGGCCAGCTCTTGTACTTGATAAAATTTTACTTGATTGAGCTAAAAAAGGAAAAAGAAAAACAGAGGATACATATTACCTACTAACATATATATTTCTCATGCTAAACTGTACATATATCGAATTACTGATCCATTACAGTGGTAGACCTACAAATACACAAACCTACTCCCCACACCAGAAAACATCTAGAAAACAGAAAGAGAAGACTGGCTAAGATGAATATACACAAATTAAAATACATCATCTTAGCCTAGGGGGAGAAAACCTATATTATATCTTCCCCCCTTTTCTAGCCAAAAGCAAAGTTAGCAAGCCCCTTCTACTCTAGTAGTACCTAGCGAAACCATTTTACCTCTTGTAACTACGGATGGTCTATTTGAAAATGTAACCACGTTTCAAAGTATATTTAACAAGCTTGTCAAACTCTGCCTCGCTGATGTACCCATCTCCGTTGGCGTCCGCATGTTGTAGCGCTAGCCATGCTCGAACGCCAGGCATACGCGAACCCAGACTGGCAAAGGCGTCCTTCAGCTCTTGCTTGCTAAGACGGCCGTCTTTGTTAGCATCAAAGCGATTAAAGATACCCCTCACCTGATCCTCACTTACAACCACTGCTGCACCCTTTATATCTGAGCTCACAGGCTGCCAAGGAGCCCTTGGGCATGCTTTGTCTATGCTTTTAGGAACAGAAGCGCCCTTGCTGCTTTCGTTTGAAGGCACTGAACTTAGGAAGTGGACCATGATAATGGAAAGGAAAGTAAGAGACAAAGATCAAGTGAACTATCTGAAACACAAAAGGAAGGCTAAGGAAAAGATTGTTTCTGCTCTCTGTGTTGTGGATGTACAGGCAGGATACGGATATATAGTCCTTAAAAGTAACACTGCCTAGTTGCCCCTTCAAAATAGTTGTCGGAACTAAAGCATGGAATAAAGGGCAAAGTATCTTTTCTTTACGTAGAAAAGGTTAATTAACAACTTGATTATCATTATAGGAGTTGGAAGAACTTAGCCGCAAGGCAAATATCTTCTTTTTTGTTGATGAAAGGATTAGTAAATGAAATGAAATTCCATCCATGGAATGCCAAATGAGTTTGTAACTAACCAAAAGAGGTGTGTTCATTCCTACCTAATGGGCCAAATCTTACACGTCCCAGAGCGAAGATTTGGGTATCAAATACAATTTAATATCATTCACTTAATACTAATTAAGTAATAGTGTATAAGTATCATATATCAATAGTACATTAAATATAAATTCTTTTAATGATATGATTGATAACGATGATTAAATTAATGTATTCTTTATTTACCACAGAAAAGAATTTAAATAGTATTTATTTCAACTTTGACTGAAACTTTTGAGAAAGTTTCTCAAAATACTTAGCTTGATAAATTATTACTAATCATGTGCTATAGTAATAGTAAATCTTTTTCCTATGTAATAATCTATTGCTCATACTTTCTCTTATTAAACAAATTAAAAGAATATACATGAAACAAATGATTCCATACTCAATTTATTAGTAATTTTCTTGAGCATTAAGAGTCCAAAGTGCATATTGAACCATGCTTTTATCACAGAATCGGACTGGGCCAAGTAATCTAATTTGGAAAACTTGAGTGCCACTTCCTGTGAAAGATACATACATACATATATATATATATATATTATAATTGCCTTTTCATATTTAGAACAGAGAGAGAGAGTAATCGGTAGTCTAAACCTTGAAAGAAAGAAAAATGCAACTGCTGCATTGAAGAGGTGTGGAATGCTAATCCACAATCTCTGTCTCACATGGATCTTCATGCCCTTTGTGCAAAACTTCATACATTTATACAAAGGATGCTAGCTTAGATATATATGTACAAGATATTGTTCTATTTTGGATGAAAATATACTAAATAACTCCCTAATAAGAGTAAACAGCTAGCCATGCTTATATACACAATAGCAAGTTCTGCTACAGATAGTAATAGTCTTCAGTCGGGTTTACATATTAATTAAATAAAATAAAATATGTAGCTAGCTAATATAAAAACCCCATCTGGTGGTGGCGTATCTGACGAGTTCATTCATCTCTTCATCGCTGATGAATCCATCTCCATTGGCATCTGCATGGCGGAGGGCTCTTCCAGCTCGCCAACTACTGAAGCGAAGGCCTAAGCTACGGAAGGCTGTCTTCAGCTCATTCTTGCTCAGCCGACCATCTCCGTTGCTGTCATATCTCTTCAGCAGACCCCTCAGCTGCTCCTCTGAGAGGGGTAAGCTTGGGCTACTTCTTGGGCTCCACGCAGGCATTGTTTCTAACCTTAGCTCTATCTATGCTACCGGTGTAAGTGATATCGCAGTAGTATGAAACTAGTAGTAGCTTAATTATATAGTGAAAATTAATCAGAGATTATGAGATAATGAATGATGATCAATCCTTATCTTTTACTCCCCCTCTTTTTGAAGTATACATAATAGGAGGAGTCAGCTTTACTAAAGGTTTAGAAGTTCGAACTCCAAGTCTTGGTCAAGGGCAAAAACTTCAACTAACTATGGTAGGTACAATTCATGCTAATAAAGCAGGTGTTAGCTGATTAATTCAATGCAATGGTTTCTTTTCTTGTTCGTGTTGGTAACCTCAGATTCTCCTTAATCTACTTAGGAAGCTAACAAATCAATTACAAGATAAATTATTCTATTATTAGTCATAATTATTCTTTTTAGGAGTTACAACGTAATAGTAGCTAGTAGAAATTCTTTTAAAAAATTTGTCACTTTGGGTTTAGCTAAACTGATTAAAAAAATAAAGTTTAATTAGAAGAAAATTTCAGATTCAAATGTAAATATTCCTCTCCACACCCCCCCCCCCTCTCCTTTTTTTTTAACTAAAAGAGCATGAATTTCAACATTGAGTACTACAAATAATTTAACAAAATTAGGCTTAGCTTTATCATGTCTTCATTTGTTATGAAGATCATGATAGTCTTTCCGCTAGCTAGCCTCCAAAAGGTAAGGAAAAGAATATTTATGCAAGATTTGAATATATGCAAAGAATAAACAGTGGTCGATGGGGCTCTAAAGACAAAAGGGTATAGCTTTGCTTTCACTCTTTAAAGATAGCAGAAGGTGCATATCTCCCCCCCAAAAACTATGCATAGAATAATGGAAGGTGAGGACCGGATGGGCAGCGTGAATAAGAGATTAAACCCCAGTAGCAGTCCTCATATATAAGAGAATATCCATGATGATTATTAGGTTTTGGTTTCTTTTCATTAGTTAAAATGAGCTAGCAAGATAAGATCCCCACATTATTAATCATGAAAATTCCAAGCAATTTCGATTCCCAACCGATTATTGAATGACTAGGTGACCTTTGGGGATTAGCCCTTTGATCATATTCCAAAATATATATTTTTTTGCCAATTGCTTCCTTTGTTTAATCTTTCCTAATGGCTTCTTATTAAAGAGTGTATGTTATATCTTATGTTTGCAGCATAATTAGCACGTCTTGGTAAGTATATGAATACGGTTCTAAAGAGAAGTCATAAATCTTACTTAAAGAGGATGTTATGCTTTCAAAAAAGAATTATGAATCTCATATTTACTATATACTAAAATAAAATTGAATATTTAAGAGTTCATACTAATAAAATCAAAACAAATAATATCTTACAAGATATTATGAACCCTGAAACAAAGCTGGACTATGTAGCTCAAGCTATTTCCAGCTTTAACAATTAGCTGGCCCTTTTTCTTAAACTAGTGTGTATCATAATAAAAGTCGTGATGAAGAAGATGGTCTTTTGGAGTAGGGGACAGCAAAAGGAGTCGAGGAAGTGGGCATGAAGAAGACAGGCCCTCATGAAGGGATCTTAACCAACTCCCTCTCATTAATTCGTTGGTGGTTGAAGAATAAAGAGAACACAGTCCGAGTCACATACAAATCCCTTTGAACAATTATATATTTCAGATGATTTCGTGTCAAAAATTGATCTTCTATAAGATTAATCTGATAAGATATTCCTTCTTATCTATATATATATAACACTAATCGCTTTTCCCATCAATAATAATGCAAGTGAATTTATTCCGTAGTCCCACGTAAGTGTTGGTCTAAGGTCTCAATCTATTTATTATCAAATTCATATGAATAAGACTACTTTTAATGGAAACTGACTTTGAAAAATCTATTCATTGGACTTTAATGGGCTTTGGGTTTTAATAACTTTTCAAACCCAATGAAAGCATCAATGGCTACTCACCTCAGCCCAACAAATTTGGTCTGAAATTGGCCTTAAACTGGGCAAAGCCCATTAATAACTGCCGAACACGAAGCTGTTAACTAATTAGGCAACGGAAAACAACCGTTAGCGAAAAACATTTCGAGCTCTTAACTCAATTTATTTTTTTTTTATTTTTGTTTTTCAAAGAAAAATGGAATTCCCAAAACCTCCGTTTCCATCGAACCCTCTCTCATCCCTGTCCACCTTCATTCACCGTCTCGGTGCCGAGCTGGCCACCCGCCTCCGCCACACCAACAGTCTTGTCGGCAACTTCGCCGTTGGTTTCTCTCCTCCAGCGGCTTCCCGCCATCGTCCGCTCTTCGCGTCGGTCTCTCAGCCGAAGGCTGCAGCTGCTGCACCTGCCAGCTTGAGTCCCGAGCAGGTGTCCAAAACCCTAGCGGGCACCGCCGTTTATACAGTGAGCAACTCCAACAATGAGTTCGTGCTTATTTCTGATCCCAATGGACCCAAGTCTATTGGCTTGCTTTGCTTTCGACAAGAAGACGCCGAGGCATTTCTCGCTCAGGTTAGTTAAATTTTTTAAATTTAGAGCAAAATTCGAAGCTTTTACTGTTCTTTAGGTTGATTTTGTTTCATTTTGTTGTAGGTTCGATTACGGAGAAGAGAGCTGAGAAGTAATGCTAAAGTAGTGCCTATTACACTTGATCAGGTGAATTTCTTTTTTCTTTTCTTTTTTACTTTAATTACTGGGTTATCATTTATGCTATAGAAATAAGAAATGCTAACTCAATTGGATTAGAAATAACAGTATTAATTATTTTTTCTTACTGGTTTATCATTTATGCTATAGGTGTATTCACTGAAGGTTGAAGGAATTGCATTTCGTTTTCTACCGGATCCAATTCAAATAAAGAACGCATTAGAGGTTAGTGTTTCATACAAGGGCAAATAGATTGTGTTTATAGCTGTTGTCTTGCGAGAATTTTTAAGGCAATGAAGAAAAAATTTAAATAAAAAAAAAGGAGGTTTCATGTAGGAATAAGAGACAGATTGTTGGGTGTTAATTTTTACATGGATTAGATGTTGGGTGCTTAGACAAGACATGGATTAGACCTGAGCTACAACGCTTAAAATGGAGTTGTTACGACTTACATTGTTCATTCTTGAGTGAAGATGTTATCTTTCTTAGCTGGACAATCTCACACGATTACTCACGATTGCTTTTCATGCTAATCAGCTGAAAGCTGCTGATATCAAAAGTGGGTTTGACGGAGTTCCTGTTTTCCAGGTATGCTATTTTTTTATTAAATACATATGATGTCGTTGAGAGTGGAATTATGGCTAAAAAATGTTCTCTGTTCGAATAATCCTTTCATGTAGTATCGTATACAAAGCATCACATAAAGGGCTACCAAAAGCTTACTTATGCATGCCTATGGCTACTCTGTGGCTGCATTTTATATTATCGATAGAAGTTATTAGGTCATTAGCAGTTTTTTCTGTATTAGCAATAGAGCAAAAGGGTAGAGACTCTTTCTTATTGTTGTTGTTAAATAGGGAACCATGCCCAACATATTTTTAATCTGATGATGAATCCGAATATTTGCTTTCTTCACAATATCTTAAATCTATTGCCACCATTGATGCTGTTTTTTATAGTAGTAGTGCATGAAGGAGCTGAACTGTGATAATAATTTCTATATTACCAGAATTAAATGTTAGGTCTTACTTTTTTGTGTTGAATGTCTGTGTTTACAGTCTGACCTTCTTGTTGTGAGGAAGAAAAACAAGCGTTTCTTCCCAATATATTTTAATAAGGTTTGCTTGATCTATCAAGTTGTTGTAGATGCTGTTTTCTTGTTCAGTATGCATTTAAAGATGGTTGTTAAATGTAACTTAGTTTCCTTTGTTTGCCTTGTTATTGTACAGGAAGACATAGAAAAAGAACTGTCAAAGGTTTCAAGGGCATCAAGAGGAACTGGTCTCTCTCAACATATTATGGTATCATATATATATAGGCATTCAAATGTATATACATGCATGGATGAGTGATTGCATGTAGATTTCCTCTGCTCTTCTTTTCTAGTACTATATACACATCACTGCCCCCCACCCTAACACTTTCAACGGTTCCATCTTTCTAGTACTTTCTTTATCAATGGAATGATTTTCCTTTTTGGTGTTACTTTTCTTTGCATTCATTTGATCTGATCTGTTTGAGCAGGTTGGAAGCTTGGAAGATGTTCTAAGGAAAATGGAGGTATATTGTCTGATTGCTAAGTAATTGTATTTAGTATGAAGGATATGGAATCTGATTGTTCCTCTTTGGTTTGATGCAGATGAGTGAGAAAAACTCAGGCTGGGAGGATCTAATATTCATTCCACCAGGGAAAAGCTATTCTCAACACATCCAAGACGTGGTGAAAGTATGAGGCGGTATGCATCTTACTTCCGACTGTCCATTTGATAGCGTCAAAACAGCACTTACATCAACTCGAAGCTCTTGAAGTCGATTCGGGATGGGGGAGAGAATTTATGGGAGAGGAGTGAATTGGCTCTATTTCTGTAACTCGATATCCAATGGGTCTCCATATGTCACCCAAAAGCAAAAAAAAGAAGGAAAAAGGAAAAGGAAAACCTAGTAGTTGCGGTCATTGATATGCACCCATACTTTTGAATGAGTTAATAGCATTAATCTGTGGAAATGGTTTTGGTTATACCCACAACTCCCAGTTAGAATTGATAGTCAAATGTTTACAAAGTTAATGCTCTTGACTTTTAATTATAAATGTTGGATTTCTTCATCTCGAAGGAAAGAGTTTTAAAAAAGGCAACAGGGAATTTGTTTGCACATTGTTTGCGAAGATGGACTCTAAATTCCCATAAAAATGAACTACGATGCAAAGAGACCAAGGCCATAGTCTTTCAAGTAATTATGTTCCCTGCCTTTTTTTCCCCTATCTCCCTTTGATTTGTCGGTTATGTTAATTTACTCATGCTTGGTCTGAAAAACATAAGGCAATAGCACACATTGGCCTGAGACATAGGTCCCCCTCTCCAACCCCCAGTTTGTGATTTATCAACAATCTGATAATTCACCTTTCATTTCGGCATTGGTCGTGTACTAAAATGTCTTTGCAATCATTTCGGATGAGTTGTGATAATACCGATGGCCAACCTAAATCCTGATTGAATCATCGCATATCATTATTATTGTTATTATTTTGGTGTAATTTTCGAATAAATAAAATAGAAGGGACAAATTGCAAATAAGAAGGCAAGATATTGGTAGAGCCTGGCATATTCCAGTAACGGCTAAAGGCGGCATTTCATTACAATGTAGGAAGTTGACAGGGCAACTAAATAGTTGGTGGGAAGCCTGCTTAACTACCTATTATAAAGTAATTTCCCCATTGATAGTTTATTTGCCGTAAACAATTTCTCAGGAAAATATCACTTCACTTTCTTGCCCCCCTTGTCTTTGGCTTGCTTTTCTTCATGTGTAAAACTGTAGCTAAAAGAAAGTTGACAAGAGAATTGTACCCTTTTAGCGTAAAGTTGGACAGTGAAAATAAGAAAAGTTAGGGAAGCGGTTGGGCTCCTTTTATTGGTGGGGATTTGTGTACACGATTATATGCTTCATTAGGAAAGAAATATGTAAAGGGTATTGTTGGGAAGTCACGGGAAATTTTCTACAAAATATTAGCACCAAACAACATGGGATTGGGGCAGAAGGGAAAGCTCTATTTGCTTCCGACCTTCTTGTCTCAAAGGGAAGGAAACGACAGATGGAGCTTTATAAATGGTCCGACTTCATTTGAGCTTTACTCTAATTTCATTCTCACTTAAGCTCTCTAACCACTACACCCTTGAAATCCTTTAAATTTCTAATCATAATTAGTATTATTGTACTTTACTTTAAACTATAGGAAGTTGTTATGATATTTTATTATCTCTATATCTATATATTTTCAGCTTGAATTGAGGTAGGACACCTTTGCTTAAGGATGGGTGAAGGACTTGGTCTACAGAAAATCATCAAGGCCACTCCTTCAAAAGCTTTGGTTATCAGAATCAACCTGGTTTTTCTTGCCTTCTTTCTGGTTATCTATGCATCTCTTCTCTTGCGCCCATCTTCTTCGGTCTATTTTGAGAATGCAGCATCGCTTGTTAGATGCTCCTTGCGTGAGTGTCATCACAAGGTAAGGTGAGCTGGCTCGGTTTCAATATTGGTTCTTGAAAGCAAACTAGATGTTTCAGGAAGATTTGTTTGTCTGTTCTCTGATATAATATTTGGTGAACGTGATTTTGCTTTAGGTGGAAAAAGGGGTGAAGATGGAGGCAGTTCTGGAAGAGAATGAATCCGGCAGTAAACGAAAGCCTGAGACGAATTTGACCAAGTTAGAGGTGCCAAGGTTCATTGATGAGATTGGAGGAGGATTGAAGATTGGGATGGTGAACTTCGAAGATAAGGATTATAGTGAATGGGAAACACATGGAGAAACAATTCCAATCCTTTTCGAGCGAGTCTCGGAGCTTTTCGAATGGCAACACCTATTTCCTGAATGGATTGATGAAGAGGAAGAAATTGATGGGCCAAAGTGCCCTGAGATACCAATGCCAGACTTCAGTAAGTACGATAACATGGACTTGATTGTGGCAAAACTGCCATGTAAGTACCCAGAAGACGGATGGGCTAGGGAGGTGTTCAGGCTTCAAGTTCATCTGATAGCAGCGAATCTGGCAGTTAAAAATGGGAAAAGGGATTGGAATTGGAGGACAAAAGTGGTGTTCCTGAGCAAGTGCAGGCCAATGCTAGAGGTGTTCCGATGCAATGATTTGGTGAAGCAGGAAGATGAGTGGTGGTACTATGAGCCGGAAGTAGCAAGATTAGAACAAAAAGTTTCCTTGCCTGTTGGTTCTTGCGAGCTGGCTTTGCCATTATGGGAACAAGGTATGACTCGTCTCTGTCCTTTGTTTTCAATTACTATTTAAGGTACTGTTTAAAGAAAGAAAAAACATAGAAAGTCCAGAAATTAAACTTTACCCGCGCCAGATAGGGGTCGAAACTACGACTTTCTTTAGTCGCGCCAGATAGGGGTCGAACCTACGACTTTCTGCTTAGGAAACAGACGCTCTATCCACTGAGCTACAGGCGCTAGATGAAAGAGAGTGGACTATTTATTTCTTAATATATACGTCAAAGTTATGACCGTCTTTTTCCTCCAAGTGGTTGAAAAACCAAAATTGGCAGACGAAAACGAAATAAGGGAAAAACATGTGATATTGGGAGAGGAATTATATAAAGGGTAGCTGGCTTATTGATGCTGATATTAGCAACTTCCAAATTAATTGACTTTGCTTGCTGACAAAGTCTAGATGTAGTAGTTATGCTTTTGTTGTCTTTTGGCAAATGCTTAGCGTCTAATCTTAAGCAGCCCTCGACACTGCCTGCTCCAAATAAGAATCCCATGTTCTACTTGTCTTCGTTAGTTAGGAATGACTGCATAACTACAACAAATGGGGGACCTGCAGCATCTCAACTTTTATATGTCATCATATTTTTCTTTGTTTACTAAAGATATTCTGAATCTTATCTTGCAACAATAAATGAATTTAACTAGCATTAGATCCAGTTTAGTGATGTTTCAAGATATGTGGTACATTTATCTAAGCACTAAGTAATTTTTGAACTTGTGATCATTCCAATTATTCACTATTAGTTAATAACAGGAAGAAAATGAATGAATTTTCAGGAACCGATGAAGTATTTGATGCCTCCAAGATCGAACAGGCAACAAGGACGGTCAAGGGTGAAGCCTATGTCACGGTGCTGCATTCTTCGGAAGCATACGTCTGCGGTGCCATAACCCTTGCCCAAAGTCTCGTTAAAACAGGCACCAAGCGCGACCTCATCCTTCTCCTGGACAAGTCCATCTCCGAACCAAAGCGCGACGTTCTCAAGGCAGCCGGGTGGCAGCTCCGCTTCATCAAAAGAATCCAGAACCCCAGAGCTGAAAAGGGCTCCTACAATGAATACAATTACAGCAAGTTCAGGCTCTGGCAGCTTACGGATTATGACAAGGTCATATTCGTCGATGCAGACATCATTGTTTTAAGAAACCTTGATCTCCTTTTCCATTTCCCTCAAATGACAGCGACAGGCAACGACGTTTGGATTTTTAATTCGGGCATTATGGTGATCGAGCCATCAAATTGCACATTTAAACTTCTAATGAACAAACGTAAAGAAATATTCTCGTACAATGGAGGGGACCAAGGTTTTCTCAATGAGGTGTTCGTTTGGTGGCATCGTTTGCCAAGGAGAGTGAATTTTCTCAAGAATTTTTGGTCCAACAGCACGGTTGAAACTGGCTTAAAGAACCAGCTTTTTGCAGCTGACCCGCCAAAAGTCTATGCGATTCATTACTTGGGATTAAAGCCTTGGCTTTGTTACAGGGACTATGATTGTAACTGGAACATAGGGGATCAACGTGTTTACGCCAGTGATGTGGCCCATCGGAGATGGTGGAAGTTTTATGACGCCATGGACGAGAAGTTGCGGAAGTTTTGTGGGTTAACAAAGCGGAGAAAGATTGACTTGGATTGGGATAGAAAAAAGGCTGGAGAGGCAGGGTTGATAGATAAGCATTGGAGGATCAATATTACGGATTCAAGGCGATGGAAAAAGAATTTGATCCAATAGAATTTGTGCATGTTCATTCCTTCCTTCCTTCCTTTCTTTCCTTCCCTTTTTGGATGGATCTTTTTGCTTCCATTGTAGAACACATTACCAGCTGTTTTCCAAGTAATTTATGTGTTGATAGTTAAACCATATTGTATCAGACATTGGTCACAGCCTTACAGGTTACTATCTGTACAATCTTTTGCAGCAGAAAATTTACTTTCTGCTCCTTCCTTAATTATCTTATCTTTGTGGGAATTTACACTTGCTTTCTCCATGTTTTTTCAAAACAAAGAAGTTACCAACTTCTACTTTTTCCAGTGATAGAAACTAGAAAGTAGAAACATCAGGGAAAAACAATTCCCATCTGAAGTTCAAGGTAAGGTAATCAGGTCTAATACATTAGGTGGAAGAAAATATAAATGGGGTGATTGTTTTCACATGCAAGTTTCAGCCATTTAACAAAGGACTCCAATTGCCAACGATGGAAATTAAATACCAAAACCCAATCATTTGCTGCAAATATAAGTTTATTAATAAGGTCCCTTTAACGAACTGCTCTCTGGTTTTTATATATATATATATATATATATATTATTCTCTTTGATTTGCTAGTCTCAACTACCTGAGAAAATTGTCCTGAAAGCAGTGTCTCAAGAGATTTGATTATAGGGTGCAAGGCAAGAATTAGAGAGCTGATGGTGATTAATGAATGAAATGTGCTATGAATGTTTGGTTGAGAAGATTTCTGCAGGTATACCTAACGATGCCGTATATATTTTATTTATATGGAATTTCAGGGCCCATGGAAACCGATATCAGATACTGCAGAGTCAATATCAAGCTATCCAATTCAACGAGAAGCTAATACCTTCTGGAAAACAGATAGTAAAAGAGAAAACTTGAAGCCTAATGCATGTGAGGGAAGTAGTGTAAATGCTTTCTCAAAGAATATTCACAATCATACATGCATTTGCAATACCAAGTGTGTACGCACATCAGCTTAAACTTCGGAAGGACTTGACTCTTGGCCCCTTGGTTGGGTTGATGGAGGGGATAGCCATGGAGACACGTCGGGCCTGGCCTGCTGTTATTGTTAGGCCTTAAAGGGCAAAAGGCGCCCAAAATAGAAATGTTCTCTTTCTCTTGTCTTATTTATTATATATATTTTAATACTTTTAATCTTTATTTGTCAAATTAATAATTGTAGTTTAAATTAAAACTTATTTTTTTTTGTGGTAATGAATATTAGATGATAAATTGATAATGATTTAGATCTTGAAATATAATTATTGACTAAATAAGATTTAAAGATTGAGAAGAATATAAATGAATCTTGAAGTTTTTATTATTTGGTTATATATTTATGTTTATGATATGGTAGTTTGTGTTAAAAGATTAAAAATTTATTTATGTAATTTATTTATTTATTTATATTTGATGTTATTCATTTATTTATAACATGTTTTTATTATTTTATTTATAAATTAAATCATAAAATAATTTTATTGATAAAAATTTTTTTAGATAAAATTACAAAAATATTTTTTTTTTAAAAAAAAAATAAACTAACTCAACTCGACCCTTAGACTAGCAAAGGGGTGAACTGGGTTGGGGTTTTAATGATTTATATAAAAAGTAAGTTAATCCAATTCAACTTATATTTTTTCAATCCACAAGAACTTGGGTCAAACTAAATCGGGTCAATCCATATTGACACCTTTAGTGTCAAGTAACCTTGTCCCAATTCTAGGTTCTTAATTCAACTAACTTTAAAGAGCCTTCATATAAGGACGTGAAAATGGAAATATATTTCATTCATTGGTTGATGAGTTGCTTATTTCTTGACAGCCAATGCTTAGACAGGTTGGTTATCTTGCAAAGGCTGTAATCTTGGGGAATTAATACTATGGTTTTGAAGAAACAGTTATTTTCTTATGTGCTTTCCCAGAGGACTTTTGGCAGAGCCACAGCGTTTTACAGAAAGAGGAATTCCAGTTGGCAGTTTTGTCCTTAACAGGGAAGCCTGTGCTATGCTAATTCTCAAATTATGTATCTTTGGTCTTCAAAAATAAACCTGGAGTGAGGAGAATCTCCAATGTTCATGCATGATTTACAAAGGATAAGATCAAAAGCAACCTGAAACAATTGACCATTGTCATCCCTGATTGTTAAACTGTC